ACGTGGCATATAAGTGAATCACTTTTTAAGCCCAAACATATTTGGCTTTAGAATTATTTATTTTTCTGTGATTTAGGGTTTGTGATATTTGGAAGCCAACAACAGCATTTGAAATCCAATATTGAAATGTCCTTGAAACCCACATGCAAGAAGCCAAGTAGCCACCATTCAGCCCCTTGTGTGTCTTTCCCAGCTTCACCCCTTAGAACTGGATCCGGGAAGTTGATGAAAAGAGTAGCTTAACAGAGGTGGTCTCTCACCACCATCCTCAGAGATGAGAAACGGAGGGCCAGGCATGGTGGCAGTGGTAAAGCTTAGGGAATATTCTCCTCTGTACTACCGCCAAGGCTTCTGGCTAAACATGCAAATGGGAGTAAACAAAGTAACCAAATAGTGGTGATTGTTAACAAATGAGTTGAACTGAAAGAGTGATGATATCTCTATCATAGAGCCTCCTTTGCTTTGAATTCCTTATAATTTATGGAGTGTAACCATGTGTTAGGCATTGAGCTAAGTGTTTCATATTCAAAGATAAAATGAAAAATTCTTTACATCAAGAAACATCATGTGGCGAAATAAATGGTCAACTAAAAAAGACTATTTAGAATTCAGTGTGCTAGAGGAATTCACAGCTGTGGAAACAGATTCCTCTCACCCAAGTTTGGCTGGAGGCTAGGAGTTCAGTAGGTTTCAAGAGTCACTGATTTGTGGGCGGAACCACAAAGAGTAACTCGGGTCAGCTAAGCTGGGAAGGGAGTGGGAAAGCTTTTCTGGCAGAGGGATGAGCTGGTGCAAAGGGATGAAGCTTGGGGAAAAGGCTGGGTTGGGTAATCTTCACCAGTTGTGTGTGGCCTGGAGATGTGAGTGCTTTTTTAAGGAGAGGCTGGACGGATAAAAGACTCTTGTCTTTACCTGGTAAATGGTTCAGACTTGATCCTGAAGTTTGAAGTAGCCTTCAGAGGATTTTAGGCAGGATAGGGATGGGGTCAGACTGATATTTTAAAATAAGTATTTTTGACTGCTGTGTGAGAAACAGGGTAAAACAGTATGTGAATGAGAGAGATTGTTTATGGGATTATTTCAGTAATTCAGGGCGAAGACATTATGCTAGCAGGGACAGTTTGAGGAGAGAATATTAATTCAAGAAACATGAAAGAAGCAGAAGAAACAGGTGCTGGTGACTTTGTTGTAAGGCACTAAGGTTGATGCCAAGTTCAGAGACTGATTATCAGATCCCACTTTTGGAACATAGCACAGTTCTTCACCCAGATTTCTTAGAGACCTTAGCTGTTTCCACTTTTCACTTCCCATCATAGTATCACTTCTTTATAGTGTCAAGAAGCCCAAACGATTAGAATATATGTATATGTATGTGTGTGTGTGTGTGTGTGTGTGTGTGTGTATATATATATGCATATACATATATATATATTTTATTGATTTTTCACAGAGAGTAAAGGAGAGGGATAGAGATCTATGAACATCGATGAGAGAGAAACATTGATCAGCTACCTCCTGCATAGCCCCTACTGGGGATGTGCCCGTAACCAGGGTACATGCCCTTGATGGGAATAGAACCCAGGACCCTTCAGTCTGCAGGCGAATGCTCTATCCACTGGGCCAAACAAGTTTCGGCTAGAATAAATATATTTTATAGGCAATATGATTTCAAAGACAAAACAACATTTAACAACTTATGAGATCACTCATTTCACAAATTTGCCTGATCTTACTGAAATGTGGGGTTCAGGATACAGACTTCTTGTGGGTTCTTGTCCCACAAAGATGAAGAATAAATTCATGGACTAACATATTTCTTTAATGAAGATGTAAAAGTTTATTGGAAGCATATACAAATTCCATCTGGACAAAGGTGTCTCCAAAGGGGACTCTTTAATTGGACCTTTCATTAATTTAGGGCCCCCATGCTCTCCTCATTGATTATTTTGTTACATAATATCAGTTTCAAAAGCCAAAGCCCATGTGGTACCCCCTCTTTTTCTATCCCCTATCTTATAATTTTTCTCTATCTCCTGTGAAAATCTGTTTTCTTATTGCCATTTGTTGGCATTTTTCTATCCTCTGTGTAAGTTTGCTTCCTTTTTCCCCATACTCTGTGGCTTTTCATTATCTTCTCTCGTTGTATGTCTTCCTCTCCCCTTATCCTGTGGAATCTTTTTTAGTCTCTGAATGTATGCTTTCTGGCGGCTCCAAGCCCTCACCTAATGCATTCCTCCCTTATGGACTTGCTTTCTTCCTAAAATTCCCTAAACCTGCTTATTTTATCCTAAAAATCCTTTCATTACTTTACAAAAGAGCCAGTTTCCTTCCAGTTTCCCTCCCTTCCCCCACACTAGTACTCACAGCTTATAAGTCTGTTGGAGGACACCCAGGTGCAAGATGAAGAAAAGGCTTGTATCATCAATGAAATATTCACATTTCAGTGAAGAGCCAAAGTTGGTCAGATATTGGATTAAAAGGAAACTAGAGGCCCAGTGCACGACATTCAGGCTGAGCTGAGGGACTTCTCCCCAGCACGACATTTGTGATCAGGAAGAAGTCCCTCGGCCCGGCCTGTGCCCTCTCCCAGTCGGACATCCTTCAGGGGTCCTTAGTGCTACTGCAGAGGCTCCTGCCACCACTGTTGCACTCGCCAGCCGTGAGCCCGGCTCCTGGCTGAGCAGTGCTCCCCCTATGGGAGTGCACTGACCACCTGGGGCAGCTCCTGCATTGAGCGTCTGCCCCATGGTGGTCTGTGTGTGTCATAGTGACCAGTCATTGTGCTATTTGGTCAATTTGCATATTAGGGTTTTATTATATAGGATAATCTTTTGTTTCATAGTGTTAGCATTTGAAATTACATCAGTTTTTTTCTAGTGGTCTCCAGCAGATAATTTTTGTTTGTAATGAAAAGTGTTTGCAAAAGCATTTCTCCTTTATTTGGGGAACCAAGGCCCTGCCTGTGGCTATGGTCTGAGCTTCATAGAATTCAAAGGCCAGAGAGTAGCCGACCTAAACAGTGGCTCCCTGAACTCATAGAAACAGAGAAGAATGGTCTTTATCAGGAGTTGGGGAGTAGAGGAAATGAGGACATGGTGGCCAAAGGGTACAAAGTTCTAGTTACAAGGTGAATAAGTTCTGAGACTTGTACAGCATGGTGATTATAGTTAACAAAATTGTATTGTATAATTGAAGGTTGCTAAGAGAGTAGACCTTAAATGTTTAAGACCCCCCCCCCAATAAATGGTAACTATGAAGTGATATATGTGATAACTATTCTCTTCATCATTTGATAATATCCTTACTAATAAAGGCCTAAGTAGTCATCATGCCATGATGCCCCCACGCCATCACAAGATGGCTGTGCACACAGCGGGTGTACACAGATAAGCAGGGCTGGGCTTGACAATGTGTGTGCAGCATGGAGCCTGCCTGGGGGGTCCTGGCTCCATGAGGCGAGGCCTACTTGGGGGTCCCCCAGCTCCACGTGGAGAGACCTGCCTGGGGGATCCCAGCTCTGTGTGGCAAGGCCTGCCTGATAGTCCTGGGGTCCCAACTCCTGGCTCCACGTGGTACAGAGGCAGGACCCCTAGTGCAAGGCAATCCATTGAGAAGCCCCAGATGGGTGAAGCCTATGTCTTTCGGGCTCCCACTCTATGACAGGGCACAGGCCAGGCTGGGGGACACCCCCCTGAGTACACGAATTTCATGCACCAGGCCTCTAGTCTATATTATAAAAGCCTAAGCGACCTTTATGACTGGAACGACTGGTCGACCAGTCGCTATGACTGGCACTGACCATCAGGGGGCAGACGCTCAACACAGGAGCTGCCCCTGGTAGTCAGTGTGCTCCCACAGCCAACCTCCTGTGGACAACCAATGTCCTCTGGTCCCTCCCCATAGCCAGCTGGCAAACCTCCCACAGCTACTCCCTCCACCCCCTGCCCCCCCAGCTGTCCCGGCCCCAATGGGCCCCCATCAGGGGCAGGGCTGGCTAGCCAACCTTCCGGGGCCTCTCCATTCTGCTGGTTTCAGCTGCGTTCCCTCCTTCCCAGCTGGTTGCCCAATTGCGCCCCCCCCCCCCTGCCAGCCAACCTCCCGTGTCCCCAGGCCAAGGGACCCTACCCATTCACCAGTTCCTGCACTGGGCCTCTAGTATCTATAGATATAAAACCCTAATATGCAAATAGACCAAATGGTGGAACAGCTGGTTTCTATGATATGCACTGACCACCAGGGGGCACATGCGGAACATGGCAGGTGTCAGCCAAGGCAGGAAGGTGGAGCAAGTGAGCAGGAGCACCAGACCAAGGTGGAGCACTGTTCACTGTAATCAGGGCGAGCTTCTGGTGGTTACTGAAAATTCTTTGCTCCTGCAGGTCATGGTCCCGCCCGGCACTCAGACCTGCTGCCGGTGCAGGCCCCACTTGTTCTCCACCTCTCCTTGCTCTGGAGGGGTGATTGGGCCAGCAGCCACCTCTTGCACCCGCTGCTGGCACAGGCCCCAGTCGCACCTGCAGCCAGCTCTTGCACCCACCAACAGTGCCAGCCCCACTCACATCTGCTGCTGGTTCTGGCCCCAATTGCTCCACGCCATCAATGGGTGCAAATGGGGCCGGCATTATCGGCGCATGGGAGTGGTGTGAGCGGGGCTGCTGGCAGACGGGACCAGGGCTGTGGTGGGAGGGGCTGGTCAGGGTGCGGAGTATGGACTGAGATCAGCCTGGAGACCACAATTCCTTTGAAGGTGCACAAATTTGTGCACTGGGCCCCTAGTGGTGTGTGTGTGTGTGTGTGTGTGTGTGTGTGTGTGTGTGTGTATGTGTGTGTGTGTGTAATTGAGTTGTATCTCTTAAACTTATACAATGTTATGTGTCAGGTATATATCTCTGAAGCTGGGGAAAACATTTAAATAAATGAATATATATTTTTAAAGTAACTCTTTACTAAATTTAGTGTGTGACATATTTCCAAAATATTGTTTTACCCTTTCTTTTCAGGATGAGCAGAAACTCCAGGACAGTTTAAGGCAAGGGGCCACAGTAATTACCACACTCATCAAAGAGAGAAATTCTGCATTCATTGGTCAACTACTGGTAGCATGAAGGACACAGAGAAAATTGCCTCTGAGTTTATAGAAACGTTTATCTAAGTCCCTCTTTCCTGGTTCCCCTCCCTGTTGTGTGTGGTAGCATATTTAAGTTGTCTTTTATGTCTCATAATTTGTAGGATATGATTCTTGGATTATAAATGTGGATTAATGTTTTATATTTGTGAAATAAAAATTTACTTTTATGCATGTTATATATAAATTGCCCAAATAGAAAGGGACAGGTAAGTGGAAAATAATAGCCTTCATGTAATCTTTTTACAAAAGCAGAAGATCAATAGAAACAATCATGTGTGAGCTAATCCTCCAAGGAATGAGAATTTAGAAATTTTGAACTATTCTCTCTGTGTTAATTAGCAAATCACACTGTAATGAAACTAATAGATAAAGTTTAGAATTATATTTCTTTACTTCAAAATTATCCTCTTACCATTAGATATTATGTTCTAATTTTCCATGCCTTAAAAAAAAAAACACATAAAAACAAAACAACAATAAGAGATTGTAGGAATTCTTTAAATATATTCACTATTGGCCCTCAACATTACTCACAATTCCTAAATGAGATGTAAAATACTCTTTGGATTACATAATTTTTACTAATTTTAAAAGGTCTCTCATCTTTCTGAATGCATTTAAGAGAAGATAGGAAAGCTTCATAAAAGTGAAGTTATTTTAGCGAAGCCCAAGTTAGTCTTCAAAAAGACAGGGAGTCATTGCAAGAATTTAATTATTCTTTTGATGCAGGTACTGTTTTTTAAATCAAGTTTCTATTCTTTCAAATTTCCACTGGTATGTACATCTTAAATATTAATGACTTTCCCTAATTAATTACATTGTATAATTATGTGCATGCAGTCATTAGAGATGCCTTTTACTCCATATTTATACTGACTTTCTTTTATTTTTTAAGTACTATATTTTTATTGATTTTATAGAGGAGGGGAGAAGGAGAAAGAGAGAAACACGTCATTGATAAGAGAGAAACATGATCAGCTGCCTCCTGCATGCCCCCTCCTCAGGATCTAGACTGCAATTCAGGCATGTGCCCTGAGTGGGAATGGAACTGTGAGCTCCTGGTTCATAGGTCAATGCTTAACCATTGGGCCACAAGGCTGGGACTGGCTACATTGACTTTCTAAAAACACAATAGATCAGATTATTTGAGGGCTTAAGCCTAAGCCTATAGTTTTACATGGAAACTATAAAAGCTGCATGCGATATTTTCTATAACATATCTACCTTGTGGAATTTCTTCTTAATATGTTAGCTGAGTTTCCCTATATTTCTCAAGTATCTCTCTCAGTAGGAGAGTTTATATGTTACATTAAAGTGATAGTCAATAGAAAATAACGGACATGGAGTAAATATTATAGTTCATTCCCCAAAGTAAAATGCATTGTTTCATGTAGTTTAGATCTGAGTTCTTGGGCTTGCTACTTTCTCTCTCGGGATGTTAACAAATATAAAATAAATAATTTAATTCACATCTTGAACATCCATGGGAAATGTGTGAATTTTGGTTAGAAAGTCTATGTTGTTAAGGTGGTGAACTAGTTGAGTTGTGGAAGATTCACCCTTCTGAAGCCTGTTGAAGTCTTCCAGTGCAAATGTCTTTAAGAATTTGAAATTGCTTATACAGGCCAGCGGGGAAATGTTACCAAGGTTTGAAAGAGAGGGTGAGCGTTTTAAAGATTAGCCTGATAACAGAATGTTATACCAGACAAGACTTTATCTAAAAGTAAGCAGTATGATTTTACCCTAAGGTAAGGGGAAGCAATTAATATAATGAAAGAGGTTTAGTTAATAAAATATGAAATTGTGTCTAAGCTAATCAATACCATCATCATCAAATTTTATTTTTCTTTACAGTTTACAAATGATTCACAACATTGAAACCACTTAAAGAAAGCCCCCCACATCTTTCACTGCTCAGAGGGGAAGTTATGCTCAGGGGTCTCTTGCCCAGAGCCAGGTGGCTGCCTAGTAACGAAAGGCAGGGCTTAGACTCAGGACCATTGGAGATGTTTTAAGTGCATCTCCCCGTATAACCACAATGACTGCAGAGGGCACCTAGCAGAGAGGCTGTGGGAAACCAGCCAGAGGCTCCAGGTGAGCCCTGGAAGAATGGACAAGGGGGTTGAGACCCCTGAGCAGTTACAAGAGGGAATTCCTGAAGCTCTTGGCTTTCCAGCCGTCTTTCCAACATACAAACCTTGTAACCAAGGATGAAGGGAGTGGAGAGAATGAATGACCAGGAGAGAAAGATTAATTAGTTGTTTCTATTGTTTAGGAGACCCAGAGGCCATTTACAGTTAACGTTTTCATCCCGGCTTCTGCAAATCTAATTACTTTCATGAGAACTGCCTGTTTTCACTTTATTTTCCAAAATCCCTTTAAAATGATAGAAGTGATGCCTCAAGGTTGCTAAATTGCTTTCTACCAATGGACAATTTTTTAAAAGACTCTCTCTTCACCCACCTCACTGTATGCTAACTAATAAATGCAATTAAAGAAAGCCTTTTAAGGAATTTAACAGGAATTTTAGATTAATGACATATTGGTAGGAGGTAGTAGTAGTTGTTGTTGTTGTTTATTAAAGTACTCAATTTGAGAGATAATTTGTTGCATATATACTCATTTACAGATAAAATCCAGAACTGCGTATTCTAATCAGACCTATTCTTTCTGTGGTCAGTTTAAGCATTTTGCATTTGTTTAACAGGAAACCTTTTTCTCATGCTAGTTTATTATAAGCAAATTTTACTTTATATATATATTAACATAATGCTTATGTTATAAAAATCAAGTTGCAGTAGGATATTTTTATACTGAGTGCAAATTTTACTTCCTACTAATGTTTAAATGAATTATGTCAAGGAAGCATAAAAAAGTTTACATTAAAATGTAAAGAAAGTCATTTGGAAGAAGAAAAATTGGAGAAATTTTTAAAAGATTAATTCAAAAATAAATAAATGAAATATACATATCCTTCTAGTATTTATCAGAATGGTTAAAAAATAAGTGGACTAGAAGTGGCCGTGCTGGTGGTTTTGATATTGTAACATTTTTATATGTTCTTATACATTTTTAGTTTTTAGTTTCAAAATTAAGAAAACTGTATGGATATTTTTAAAATGAAAAGTACCAAACTACTATTAAAGGTTCTCAATATATTCTCTTTACCAAACAACATATGTAATTAATAACTAAATAAACCAATTATATTTTAAAATCAAATGGCAATTTTCATTGATATTTATTGTATATATGCACATTTTCATACTAACTTAGTCACAATTTAATAACAATATAACATTTATTCTGAAAATATAAAAATGTGATGTTTTATTTGTTATATAGAATTTGGTATCCAGATCTATTAGCCTATAAAATGCAATAAATATTTGCAAAACCAGAAGTCTCAACTTTTTTTCCCTCTTTTCCCTCATATTTAGCAGCTTTCTTAGCAATATTGTGGCTGTTAAGGATTTAAAACCTGTACTCAGACACAATGGAAAGGAATACTGTGATCACTTAAGAATGTTGACATGAGTGTGCTGGGTTGAATTATTTTTAGAAATATTCCTTCCCTCCATTTAGCTTCCCTGGGAGGGATATATTTCTACCTCTTGACTTTGGGGCTCATCATGTGACCTGCTTTCACCAATAGAGTGAGTCAAAATGGCACTGCACCCTTGATAGATCTGGATATTAAATCTAGACTAGAGATGAGACACTGTTATGTTGCTGCTTGTTCTCTCCCACTTCTGCCACCACCAGGAGATGAACTGACAAATGGATGAACAAGCCCAGCTGTTCAGTTGACTTCCAACAGGCAGGTGAGTTCTATAAATGCTCGTTTTTAAAACATAATAAAGAGTTTTGCCCTACCCAGTTTGGTTTAATGAATAGAGCATCGACCAGTGGACTGAGGGTCCGGGGTTCAATTCCAGTTTAAGGGTACATGCCTGAGTTGCAGGCTCGATTCCCAGTAAGGGGCATTCAGGAGACAGCCAACCAGATTATCTCTCATCATCAGTGTTTATATCTCTCTGCCTCCTTTCCTCTCTGAAGTCAATAAAAATATATTTTAAAAAATAGTGAGTTTTGAATCTTTTTATTGTACACCAGTTGGTAACCAAGTGTGGCAGTGTTGGTATATTTGCCCTCACAGTCTAGGATGTAAAACAAAATACTTCTGAGAAATGTTGGTCAGAGCAATGATCCTGAAATGCTAGAAGGTTCTCCCCCCCCCCCCTTGAATAGCAAGAGAAAGAAAATGGTTTCTGTACCCTCAGTGTTTCTCTTTCTTTCCTTGCCCATCACCACCTGCAACACACAAACATTTTGGAACTTCATTGGATCTGCATGTGCCAAGAAAATCTTCAAAGACTGATGCCCATACTAGTATTATTAATGCCATCTCTGTGAACGCTATAGTTGCGGGAATTTCCTCAGGCAATGTATGACCAGACACTAGGATAATGAAAGTGTAAGAAGAAAAAGGTGAATTGCAGTTGCATATAGCCATTTGTGCCTCAGCAACACAGAAAGACATGCAAAGAGAAGTTCCAACTCCATCACCATCTTTTTTTTTTTTAAAATTATTCATTTTTTACAGAGAGGAAGAGAGAGGGATAGAGAGTTAGAACCATCGATCAGAGAAAAACGTCGATTAGCTGCCTCCTTTACACTCTCTATGGGGATGTGCCTGCAACCAAGGTACATGCCCTTGACTGGAATCGAACCTGGGACCCTTCAAAGGCCAGTGCTCTACCCAACGAGCCAAACCGGTTAGGGTCCATCACCATCTTTATGACAGAAAGGAAGGTCTACAGGATGTTCAGGCATGAAGTGTGAAGTCTTCCCTAGAGAACGTTCAGGCGTGAAGTGTGAGACTTCCCTCAGCACATATTGTTCACAATGCTTGCTCAGTGGGAAAACTTTGGAGTGAATGGTACTTAGTATGAGTTCGACCTGACTGGAGCCAGA